AACGGAATTACCTTCGGGTTTTACTTATCAATCCTTATCTTAAATTAATAATTTTCTAGTATTATTATTATTATTATTACAATTATTACCACTCGAATATTTTTATTAATTTTTTCTTCTGCTTTTTTTACATCTGTTAATAAAAAAAAATGTTTTTTTTTTATTTAAATTTACGTAATAAAATTTTACCGTAATTTTACCGTAATAGTTTTTTTTTTTTTTTTTTAAAATTTAATTAAAATACAAAAACGTAAATTTTATTTTATTTAAAAAAAAAAAGTTTTTACGAACACAATAATAATAATAATAATAATAATAATAATAATAATAATAATAACAACAATAATAATAATAATAATAATAATAATAATAATAATAATAATATTAATAATAATAATAACAATAATAATAATAATAATAATAATAATAATAATAATAATATTAATAATAATAATAATAATAATTGTCAAAAGAAAAGTAACGAATTTATTTTTATAAATATATGTATGAAAACTTAAAATTTTATTTTGATTTTTTTTATTTTTTTCCATTCAAATTTTTTTTTTTTGGTTCCCCCCCCCCGAAAAAAAAAAAACGTTAAAACTTTTCAATTAAATATGGCTGTCGAATGCCTCCCGAGAATTTTTTTTTTTTGTTATCAAACTTCTTTTTTATTCTTTTCTTTTTTTTTCTTTTACCCAAAGCAATTTTGTATCGTTTTAAAAAAATATATATAGATACATTTTTCTTTTTTTAAACTTGTTTTTAAATCGAAGCAACACGTTCTTCTTCCACGTAATAAATTTCCCCTTTCCCCCCCCTTTTCCCCTTCATTTTTTTTCGCGCCGAATAAAAAACAAGGCGGTGACTTTGCGTGGTTTTTACGTTTTCATCAATGTTAAAAAAAAAACATCAAGTTTCCAAACCGGAAATAACTTTTTTTTTAAAATTACGAATCAAAATTTTTTTTTAAAAATAAAAATTACGTTTAGTAAATAAAAAGACGTGGAAGTAACGTAAAATAAATAAATAAATAAAAGTAATTGTGGTAAACATTTAATTAAATCGTAATTGAAAAATTTAAATTTAGAATTTGGGGGATAATTTAAATTACGAGAATAATTTTACATTAAATTTAAATAATTTTTTTAAAAATCCGGATCGTTGTATCATCATCATCATCATCATCATCATCATCATCTTAGGTCAATTCGAAAAGACCGCGAAAATCGATAAATCTTATTATTATTATTATTATTTTCCTCTTTCGTTAAATTAAATCTCATTTTACAAACGCGAAAAAAAAAAACTAGGAAAGGAAAGGGGGGAGGGGGAGGTTGGAAAAATTTTTTTTTTTAAATAAAAAGAAAGATTTATCTTCTGCTTGCGTTATTTTCCTCTTCGATCTACGCACGAATAATTAATTAAAATTACATTTTAAAAAAAAAAAAATTCCTTTTTTAAAACGATTGTAAATCAGTTTGAAAATTCGACAGTGGCAACAGACATTGACCAATATTAACATTGCTTTTACGAGTTTTTCATCGAAACTATAAAAAAACATGTTTTCTCCATGTAAATCTTATGCGAAACGTGTTCATTAAAA